GGCTAGGCCAGGCCAGTGATCGGTGCTGTCTGATCCCTGTCCCCCTCCGGCTGTGGGTGCTGTGGTGTGAAGGGTGGAGGGAGAGGTGCGGAGGAGGGTGACAGGGCAGCTTGGTTGTTCCTTCGGGGTACGGGGCCGGGGGGATCGCCTTGGGACCCGAACACCAGTGGAGGCAGAGAATCATAGAATCATTATGGTTGGAAGAGACCTCAAAGATCATCAAGTCCAACCGTACACCTGATGCCACCATGCCTGCTAAACCATGTCTTGAAGTACCACATCTATACGTTTTTTGAACGACTACAGGGCTCCCTGGGGAGCCCGTTCCAATGCCTAACGACTCTAACAGTGAAGAAGTTCTTTCTAACGTCGAGCCTGAACCTCCCCTGGCGCAACTCTCGTCCTATCGCTAGTTACCGGGGAGAAGAGCCCAATCCCCACCTCACTACACCCTCCTTTCAGGCAGCTGTAGAGGGCAATCAGGTCTCCCCTCAGCCTCCTCTTTTCCAGAGTAAACAACCCCAGCTCCCTCAGCCGCTCCTCATAAGGCTTTTTCTCCAGGCTCTTCACCAGCTTCGTTGCCCTTCTCTGAACATGCTCCAGCAGCTCAATGGCCTTCTTATAGTGAGGGGCCCAAAACTGGACACAGTATTCGAGGTGCGGCCTCACCAGCGCAGAGTACAAAGGGATGATCACTTCCCTGGTCCTGCTGGCCACACTGTTTCTGATACAGGCCAGGATGCTTCCATCCATGCCAGGTTGCCTTCCATCCTGGCTGCTGGATCACATCGCTGCAGGGAACTGGGTGCTCCTTTGTGCTCATCAGATTACATGTATACCACACATATTTTATTAAAGCACTTGTGTGGAGCGTGTTGCTGCAGCACCATAATAGTGATAGAGATGCTTTCTAGTTTTATGCAGACTTTCTCATAAAGATGGCAGAGAAGTATGGTGTTTTCAGGGAGTTGTGAAGGAGATGAGGCAGAGAGGAGGTGACTGGCCGTTGGAGCCAAGCTGGAAAGGTTTTGGCTTGGGAAGGAAGTGCAGGGATAGGGTGCGGAGAGCAGAAGCAGAGGAGCTTACAGTTTTCAGGACTTACTGAGCTTATTCCCTGTATCAATTTCATGCATGGTGGGACAAACTCTGCAGCTTGCATTATCCCTGTGTTCTTGCATACCACATTTTTTTTCTGCTTTCTTTCTCAGTATATCCCTGATTTCCATCCATCCCAAGCCACGTTTTCCAAAGTGTATGATACATCAGCAATTTTCTGACAGGCCGCTTCCTTCAGAGTGCTTCTTTGATGATGCGAGTCCCTCTTTGACATTAAGGAATTTGTAGATGAGAGAGAGAGATGGGAAGGTGAGCAGGTAGCTAGGCATGCCATCTTCATGCCTGATGCTGACATTTCAGTGATTGATTAATGATAGTGCTGCTTAGGGACTGAAATAAGTTACACGTTTCATATGTAGATGTAAATGAGTTGTAGGAATGTTTTCCTTAGCTAGAGGAAAATGTAGGATTTTTCTTGAACTCTGTTTTATGCTTTGTCTGGTGAAAAGGCAAGGGGAGGGGGTGTCTATCAAACAAGTAAGTGAATAAATACGTGTAATTTTTTCCTGAGTAATTGTTTTGGCTTTAACAAACTGCTTCATCTCTCCATGCTCACTTCTCTCATGTTGGATTTATATGATAATGCAAAATACATGTTTTTATTTTATTCAGCTTACCCCATACTCACCAACCAGTGCAACAGACATGCTGAGAGCCAAGGATGCTTTCCTGCACTTGTGGCCCCGCTACTGCACTTGCCAGGCACAACTTCCACCCTGCCAGCTCACATGGCGTTCGCTGCACAGGCAGCCACTGCACCCTGAGTGGGCTACCCTTGCTGAAAAGCAGCTGAAAGGCAAGAATCCAAAGGATTTAATTTGGCATACCCCAGAGGGGATTGACATCAAGCCCTTATACTCCAAAAGGGACACAAAAGACCTCCCTGAGGAGCTGCCAGGGGTGAAACCTTTCACTCGAGGACCCTACCCAACTATGTACACTTACAGGCCGTGGACTATCCGCCAGTATGCTGGCTTCAGTACAGTGGAGGAGAGCAATAAGTTCTACAAGGACAACATTAAAGGTAAGACAGCTGATGTGAGAAACAGCATTGCCTTGCAAAGCAATGGGGGACATTCATATGGTGAATTACATGGCAAACGTGATTATTCCACCTTGTGAGTTTTGGTTTCTGACAGGATCTTCCCAGTGATGCTCTATTTCTTTATTACTGGGAAATTGGATCATTTCTGAAACTGCCTTTTCTTCGTTTTGCTATTGAGATGGAAAAATGAATGTCTGGAATGCTATTTTTAGTTATTCTGCTTTAACACTTAAGAGAGGTATAATTTGGCTGTATCCCAGGGTCCAACCAGCAGAGGTCATGCAGCACTTTACACTCATTTTGTGACCATGAGAAAAGATTGTAGTGGAAAAAAATGTTGAACTTTGTCCCTGAGCTAAACTTCTGCTGTTAGTGCATTCCGACATTTTAGGTTTCCATCTCATATTGTAAATTTTAAATGAACTCATAAATACATATAAATAGTGTCGTTCATGGTGTGTTAGTAAAGCCAGCTTCCTAAAACTATTGGTATTTTCTTTATTTGAAAGCATTTTTTCCAGTATTTCTGCAGAGTATTGTGCTTTGCAGCAGTGTGTTTTAGCTAATAGCTGGAGTGCTATTGAGTTAGGCATTGTAAAACCACGGCTAAAAAGTTGTTTGTGATAGACTGAAGCATTAGTTTTATACCAGCCATACATCTTAGCAATCTTTTGAAGCTAATTATAAAAAACAATAGACCACTGAAAGTTGCTTTCTAAGTAATACATGTGACACTTTTATTTCCCACTTTACAGTCCCTCCTACTCAAAACATAATGGTTAAGGTTGGAGGGGAGGAGTTTTTTGGGATTATTACCTCTTGCAATGTGATGGTTACCTATTATGATGCAATATTAGCTGCTGCAGTATCCTTGCAAGTATTCTTGAATCTTTCCATTTATAAAACTCTCAGTAAATTAAGAAATTATAAATACAGGGTATTAGAGGTTTGAAAATAAACATTTCAATAGAAAGATTGTTCGAATAGACTTGTGTCTTACTGCTGAACATTGCTGCTTGGGTTAACTGGTAGCACAGCTCAGTTACTCAAGAATGTTTGCTGCCAGTAAGTTTTAATCTTTATTCAAATTTTGACATTGTGATACTGTAATTTTATCTTATGTTAATGGTTGTATTAATATTGAATTATTTAGCATAGATTCTGAATCTGACCTAGTTATTTGTAAAGCATTTTTAGTAATTCAATTAAGGTCTCTCTGTAATTAGAAGAATACTGAAAAAGAATTAATTATCAGTTCTCATAATTGCTGAAATTTCTGTTGCTTGAAACTAGGCAGAAATTTAAATTTTTGTCATTATGCTTCAAAGCTAACGCTTAGCTTTTTAGATCGAAGACAATAGCTGGTATCCGACAAGAGCTCTGCTGATGTTGTGAAGCAGATTTGCAAATGCAGTAGATACAGTTACTGCAGGAACAGCAGTGCTGGTCAGAGGGTGAATGTCTGGGGGTAGCAGAGTCTTGGGTACTGCTTTCAGATTGCAGCAACAAGTCTGCCAAGAGCTCTAACTGTCCCGTTCCCTGCTTTATATGAATAATTTTCTCCTACTGCAGATTTAGTAACGCATCACTTTACGAATGAACAACGTATCTCAGTAGAGCCAGGGTAACAATCTGTGTGCCTGTGTTTAATTTGTGATAAAGAAAAGGTAATGTGACGTCGTTTATCACACTTTTGTTTCCAGCTAAGCTAAGTAGAATTTTGGTATATAAGCTCAGATGCTGTCTGCATATTTATAACTTGTGGCTAGACTGTTATTCAGTAATTTGTTAAGCACAGTAAACTGATTGAGTGGCTGAGCTGGAAGGACTACAATTTTTTTTTGTTCAATTAAAAGCTTTTTCATTTAAAGTTTAAGACTAGAAGACCTTGGACAAGTTTGGGAAAAGAACAGTGTTTAACATCAAAAATTGGTTTGTCATCCAAGTCTGGATCATGTAAAATAAAAGTCTGTTGAACACTTCTGAATCTCTCTGTTGTTTTTTTTTGTTGTGGTTTTTTTTTTTCTTTTTCATTTAGCTGGTCAGCAGGGATTATCTGTTGCGTTTGATTTAGCCACCCACCGTGGTTATGATTCAGACAACCCACGAGTTCGAGGAGACGTTGGAATGGCTGGAGTTGCCATTGATACAGTGGAAGACACCAAAATCCTTTTTGATGGAATTCCTTTAGAGAAAATGTCAGTTTCTATGACAATGAATGGGGCAGTCATTCCCGTGTTGGCAACGTTCATTGTAACTGGAGAAGAACAGGGAGTGCCTCAGGCCAAGCTGACAGGGACAATCCAAAATGACATCTTGAAGGAGTTCATGGTCCGAAATACGTACATTTTCCCCCCAGAACCATCAATGCGGATTATTGCTGACATCTTCCAGTACACTTCAAAGGTATTAATTGTTTAAATGTATTTACTTCTGTTATTACATCTAGTTAACTATTTATGAGGCACTTTGGAGGACAAAGCAGAAGATGGGAAGACCTGTCATTGTGAAGAATGATATGGTTGTGGAAAGGGCCGGGAGGAGAAGTTAAGATCTAAGATCACTTACAGCATAAATTTTAAGATTTTTAAGTCAGTCCAAATCAAAGTCAGATTAAGATGAGCTTAAGCCTGAAAGGATGGCAGGAAGCTTGGAGACGAGGAACAGACAGGCTTTTCTTTGCCTAGAAAGTAAGAAGCCCCATAGTTAAGAAGCATTATACAGCTGTACGCAGGAGTGAAGAGGTAAGAAATCTTGAAGGATTTCTGCTGCAAAATTAAGCCTGAGAAGGAGGCAATGAAAGGAGTCAAGTCCTGAACTGATGACTGGAAGTTCAGTACTACCAGTTCTTTTTCTAGTTGCATTTTCACTGGAGAGGTGGCATGCAGCCTGTAATGGAGAAAGATACTTACTCTGGTGGGTGATAGTTTAAGCACAATGAATAGTGCAAAAAGGTAAAAGCGTGTGAAGTCAACATGTGCAAACACCACTTAATAAAGGTGGGTTGTTTCCGCAGTCTACAAAGAATGGATTATTTGTGAATGTTGATAGAACAATTATCTTACCCCTTTCTGCTGTCATACCCTGTTGTCTTATTTTTGCAGTATATGCCAAAATTTAATTCCATTTCAATCAGCGGGTATCACATGCAAGAGGCAGGAGCTGACACCATTCTGGAATTAGCTTACACTATAGCAGATGGCTTGGAGTACTGCAGAACTGGACTTAAAGCTGGCCTTACCATTGATGAATTTGCACCAAGGTAAGCTACAGAAATTTGCAAGTGTAAAACTCACTTTTGGTAAAACCTCTAGGGTTTAATATCAAATTCAGTATTTTTATGCATACAAGCAATATTGGCAATGCTCATATTGCAGATAGGTTTGGTTTTGTTTTGTTTTTGTTAACACAGTTTCAGCGGTAGGAAAATGTATCTGGTCCAACCCAGACACTTAGACTACAACTGTGCTGGTAAACTGAATAAAGTTCATGCACGAGCCCAAGCAATGCCAGGGTCTGTTGTGGTAGTTAGTGTCTGGGTCAGAAAGAGAATCTCTAAGCTGTTATATCTACTACAGTTGTAGCTTTAGGACTGCAGAATGCAGCAAGAGCTCTTTGATGCTGTAGTGTTACTGAATTTTTTTCATTAGTATTATTTTGAAATATTTGTGACAAATGCTTAACAAGGGGAAGTTCAGGTAGTTCAATTTACAGTTGCAAATTTCCTAAAAATAAAATTTAATTTTAAGCAGAATATTGTATTTTTGTATAGTTACTGCCAAACTAAGCAGAATCACAGTTTCAGGGGTCTAGTTGATTTACAGATTCCCTAACTATACGGTGACTCTGGAAAACAAAAGGCGCGGTTCACGTAGCCTGTTGCATGTTCAAACTGTAGCAATCGGCTGAATTAACCTGTTTCTGAGATCTGTGGCAAAGTCAAAGTGGATCATGTAGAAAAAGATACAGACTTACTTTCAGACTTTCTAGTGATGGAGAATCTGTAAGAGCCTTTGGCAAATTGTTTCAGTAGCTAATGCACTGTTACAAAAGTGCATCTTCAGTAGAATGAGTTTTACTGGCTTTCACTATGCATGTTTACATTTATAAATCATAGAAGTTGTAAGTAGGAAAAAGTAGATCAATCAGTCTGTTCCCTGATATGCTATCCAGTATTGAACTGATGTTTGATTTGGATTTTGATTAAAATTGTCAGAAAAAGGATGAAAACATGCTTATAATATGTAATGTCTTCCCATTATAATAGATAGTGAGCCTAGCTACACTAGTAGATTGTGTCCAGGAGTGTTTTCAGGCCCTAGAGTGTCACTGTTTGTATTAGTGACTTGCTGGAACAGTGCTTGACCTAGGGCTCTCCCAAAACGGCCTCTGGGGACAGTTTAGCAGTTCCAGGGACCATTGTTGCTACCCTGGCATCAGTGTCCAGGAGCATTCCCATCATCTTATGTCTGGGTTGTATCTGTAGAGGTAAATTAATCAGAGACCTTGCTGTAGGACTTCTCCTTTACTGAAACAGAGGTATTAGAATGGTTTAATGTTTTATCCTGTCCATGTGCTCTTATTACAGGCTGTCCTTCTTCTGGGGAATTGGCATGAACTTCTATATGGAAATAGCTAAGCTGAGAGCTGGGAGGCGACTGTGGGCTCACTTGATAGAGAAAATGTTTAAGCCCAAGGATCCCAAATCTCTTCTGCTGAGAGCTCATTGTCAGACTTCAGGCTGGTCTCTCACTGAACAGGTTAGAAATTGGACTCTCATCAACTTCCTCATTTAAATATGTTCTCACATCTTAAAGGGGGCTGCTGGTTTTACTCATAAAAATGCATCTTTCTGAAAGACACAACTTGTATTACTCTCAGTCTGACAAATGCACACACTAGCATTGAATACATCTTTTTGCTTGCATACCACAGAAAGTCTTGTTGAGTGCCAGCAGCATTGCTTCCCAAAATGCTGGTTTATGAAATACCTCAGCATTCTGGAGTGCCCTGTAGTGCTCAGGTAAAAGGGCAGAAACTGAAGACTGGAGACTGTATTTACAGAAGGATTCCAGTATGGTGACAGGCAAAGTCTCAGTGCCTGACTTTTCATTGTCTGGCTTAATTTTCATTCTGGAATCACTGTCTTAAACATGTGTGCCCCCGACCTAGTGGATACTGAATTGAGAGTAGGATCCAAACCTGCTAAGTAGAGAGAGAATTGCAGAGAGGTGCTTATATTAATTCAGGACTCAGAGGATGAAGCTCTCTCTTGGATTTGTCCTGTAAGTTATCCTTTCAAAATGCAGCTGAATGAAGAAGTAGGGGCACCTTTTTCACAGGACCACTGGTTTGAGAATTCATTTGAGCAGCCAAGGACATTCATGCCCCTGACTCTTACTGCTGAAGAGTGAAGCAATGGTTACAGCTTGTCTGCTCTTTTGAAACTGGGTGCGCTATCTGCTCTTCCTGTTGAGTTACATCACAAGAAGAACATAAATAATTGGGCTGCATATAGTTTCCCAAGTGAGGTCAGAGCTGGGTTCTAGCTCTTATTCCAAGGCCTGCTTCTCGAAGTCATGCAATATGAGTTATTTTTAGGTTGTGATTGCAACCATTGTTATTTGATTTCTCTATCTTGGTTTTATTCTTTTTTTCAATGCAAATGTAGTGTTTACTTATGTTACAGGAACACAGTAAAACTAAAACAATGGAATTTTCTGAAGAGTGGCCTTTGTGGGTCCTCCAACTAAAAATATTGTATGAGTGCAAAAATATTAATATTACCAAAAATATGTTCAACTGTCTTCCAGTGTCCAGTGTAAATATATTTCTGGCCAGATCATAACCCTTTTTTCCTGTCTAAACATTGTTGTTCATCTTAACCTAACTCCTCAATGCCCAGTCTTAACTCCTTATATATAGGTTTCAGAGGGCAAATATATTTTCCTTTGCCCTGCCTTTAGATAGCTATCCACTCATAAATTAGGTTTTATATTCCTGCTCATCCAAATCACATTTTTCTGTAATTCTTTAAATGGAATACTTGAACCAGAAATAGACTCCAGTGTAGGTAGAATTACCATGTTCTTGTAAAATAGTGATATTAATTCCATTTCTTTATGGAAGATAATGTAATTCACAGATCTCATGATTCATGGTGCCTTCTTCAAGGTCCTATTACATTGGTAGCTTTAATAATTTTGGATACATTTCATCCCAGCTAAGCATGTCAAGAATTAGTTATGCAATCTCAGCTACTGTTAAGTTCCCTCAATTATCACACTTAAGTAAGACAGGCAGCTGCAGCGTGTGATTCTTCACTGTATCTCAGAACGTAAGTCATGCCCTGGAGATCATGATAACTCCTCTTTGACTGTAAAGGCACATATATACAACTCAACTGTATAGATGTCTGAAAAGAACAGATAAAAATTTTGACCTAAAGGCTGAGATTATATTCTGTAATAGTGACTCTATTTCTATACCTTGTACTCCAGGTTATCTGTTTGTTTTGGTTAACATCCCAGTTCTCCCACAGATACCATTCAATTTTATAGCACCAGCAAATTTCAACTGTAATTCCGACCTTTATGTAATCCTGTCATTAATGAAAATACTAAGCACATTTAGTTCCAGAACAGATCTTGACTAGTAACCTGTTTGACAGATGGGCTATTCACTGCTCTGAGAATTCTGGAATCTGAGGATGAAGGACATCCTGATTCCCTGTTCCATCCTCTCCAGCTTGGATTCATTATTTGAAACACCACTAAATATAAGTTAGGCTTTGCTTTCTTATCGTGACCAGTTTACTCCTACGCTGATAATTTTGGCTTTCTTTATGGATTAATCTCTTTGTCCAAGATACTGATAAGTGATATATCAGTTTGATTGGATGCTTATTATTGACTGTTTTCTTTTTCAGCTTTCGTTATGATTGCAGTGTTTCAGTGGGGAATCTTGCATTCATTTCATTGCAGTAGTGTATGTGTGCCTAATCTGCCTCAACCCTGTGGCAGAGCTCCTGAGTTTCACAGCTCTCCTTTTCCTTCCAGGATCCCTTTAACAATGTTATCCGTACTACAATTGAAGCAATGGCTGCAGTGTTTGGAGGTACACAGTCTTTGCATACAAATTCATTTGATGAAGCCTTGGGTTTGCCTACAGTGAAGAGTGCTCGCATTGCTCGGAACACGCAGATCATAATTCAAGAGGAATCGGGTATTCCCAAAGTGGCGGACCCCTGGGGGGGATCTTACCTCATGGAGTGCCTCACCAATGATGTCTATGAAGCTGCTTTAAAGGTCAGTTTGCATAACCTTTTATGTTTTGTGGGAAAACTTTAGGTATAGGAGTTTTGAAAAATGTCTTTTAAGGGACTATTTGAGATGTTGGTAACTTCTGAAGAGGGAATTATTTTACGCTTATGCTTCAGTGATTTCTTTGTAAATGAAATTTACAAAAATACAGTGTATATTTAGAGAAGGAGAGACTTCAGCCTTCTAGTAAACTACATTCAAGAGGGAAATATCCCAGTGTGGAACAAATAACCAAGCCCTGCAAAGTCCCTTGCACACTGGACTCCCAGTTTGCTGGGATCTCTGTTTCATATGTAAGAAAAAAAAGGATTCAACAGAAGAAAGAGTCAAACCAACCTACTTAATTGCATGCCTACTCATGCTTGTGGTGATCTGCTTAAGACTTTAAAACTAGGGGTTATTGAAAGCAAAGTTTTATAGCCGAGCATGTAGGCAATTGTCTGACCATACTTAAGTATTACATAGAATATAGGAGAAAATTTTGTTGGATCAAAATATTTTTTTAATAATGTTTTTAGCTGACAGTCATTACTTGCACATGAAAAGTACTGGGCAGGAGTAGAAGTGGTGGCAATCCTGCATAAAGACATATGCCTACATGTCTGGCCTACAACTAAACCCAGTGATTCTCCTTTTGAGCAAATTATTGCTCTTATGCAAAGTCCCAAATTAATAAGCTAATACAGGCCCAAACACTAGCCTGGGACTGTGCAGAAACTGTTAGCATATTGTCTGATGTGGTTTTTAGGTCCTTGTCAACTAGGATGCTTCTAGACAGTGCCAGGTATGGTCTGATGGCCATTTTCAATAGGCAGTTTGAAAGCGGTCATCTTGGTTTGGAGCTGAATAGGCTTCTGCTGTGTGAGAGCTGAACCATGCCATGCCACTTCTCTTCAGGATCAGAGAACTGACCTTGGCTTTTTTCAGTTTATTTGTATTTGTATACATATAACCATAAGGACTGGTTGGTAGGCAGAAGTCAGTGCAGAGTCAAGGTCTCAAATTTGAAGCCTTTTCATCCATGGGTGTTACTGGTTGAACAATATGCCATGCACTGTTATTGAATTCATGAAGTTTTGGTGATAAAAATGCTGTTTTGTTTGAGATGTCTCTTAATTTATACCAAAACCTGTAGTCAGAGACACAGAGATAGGAAACACACTTTTAGAGCACAGGACTGTATATATAGGTATAATAAAAATTTGGACGATAGTACAAATGCAAAGCTTCTTTTGTGAACCTTGCTACTACTCACTTTCTCAATCCTCTTCATTTCTCAGCTTGTTGAGGAGATAGAAGAAATGGGTGGAATGGCCAAAGCTGTTGCCGAGGGGATTCCCAAACTTCGTATTGAAGAGTGTGCAGCCCGAAGACAAGCCAGGATTGACTCCGGTAGGGAGCAGGGAGATGAAAGAAGGGAAAACTGCCAACAGAATACCTTTGTATAAAAGTTTTTTACACGGATTTTCATTGTTGTTTTTTTTTTTCTTAGTTTAGGAGTAGCAGATTGTGAGTGATAAAATGGTAATAGTTTTATGTCAGTGAAAGCTTCTGAAAAGAGATAGCAGTATGTTTGAAGTACCGTACCAGTATGAAAACAGTCTTGCTTGACATATTTAAGACTAGATTAGACAAAGCACTGGAAAGACCATTTAAAGGAGTATTTTGGGCCTTCTGATAGTTAATCGCTTCATTTCTAATAGTATCTTTAAACTGTGAATCCTGACTTTAAAAACATGACTGACAGCAGATGGCGGTATTGAATGTATCTGGCCAAATTCCCAGCTTTGCTTGAGAACTGCCCATTTTTCCTGAAGATCAGAAAAAATGCAGTCATCTCAGGTTAGAGGATGAGGCAGCTCTTTGTGAGATAGATAGATATATGTGTATGTGTGTGTATATATATGTATATGCATATGTCCACATATAGTAAGTATATGCAGAGATGTGTATACACATGTGCTTATAGCTCTATTCAACTTTCTGTAGTCTGCATTCCAACAGCAGTCCAGTAACAGAAATTAGGGATAGCTCGAACATGAAAGAAGTTATACAAACTTTTTTTGTTTGGAGGATAAATTTGAAGCAGGTCTTTAATTAAGACCAATAAAGAAGAATCAATAAAGTTCTGTGCTTTCTCTCCCAAAGTAAATTACTTTGTGTTGCTTTGAAGAGTGTAGTAATGTTATCAGGCACTGCAGATAAAAATGGTTGTTAAGTCCATATTGGCTGAAAGCTAAAATACAGTTTTCCAACATAATAAATTAATTTTTATTCACATGGAATAGTTTTAGGTAGGAACGTCACTTTCTTATTTATCTGGTAAATCAGAAAAGTAAGTGCAGAGCAGTGCAGGAGACAAGCACTTCTGCTTACTTCTGTAAGAATCAGTTATGTAAACTTAAAAAGAGAAGAATAGCTAATGTATATTAGTGTCTCATTACTATATCAGTTGTAAGATAAATATTGTTCTATTTAAAATCTTTCTTCTGGCCCAGTATTCACCGAGTTGAATATTCACGCATCTAATCATCTCTCATCATAAAATATGGAAAATACAGACTTAAGTCCTTCCTATAAGGACAAATTTTAAGTATTTGAAATGTATAGTTATAAATGTATAGTTTATAAAGCAAAGTACTGCATTATAAGGCTCAAAATTTTCTTGTCGTATTAATATTGTGTCTTTTCACAGTAGTTTGCAAATGTATTCTGAGTTTCTGGTGTTTCCACTGGAAATAGGGTCTGAAGTAATTGTTGGAGTAAACAAGCATCAGCTAGAAAAAGAGGAGACAGTCGAAGTTCTGGCTATTGATAATACTTCAGTCCGTAACAAGCAGATTGAGAAGATTAATAAGGTGGGAACTACATTCTTAAAAATGAAAGTTCTTGTAATTGTAGATAGAACTTGAGTAAAGGTGGCATGCCAGAAACTTGACCCTCAAATTTCTGAGAATCCGCTCTAGTGTTTAGCGGGCAGCTAGATTTCTGTTCAACTTCAGTGAAGGCTGATGGAAAATCCAAAGAAACACAGTATTAGAATCCAAACAAAAATGTTTTCCTTACGTTCATTTGGTTTTAGTCATTATATTTCAGATAGTCTCATGAATATGTGTCTAACCTTTCAAAACTGAGAACTTTACATTTTCTGAAAATAAGATAGAAAATAACTATGCAATGTTCTGCTCTAAAAGTATGTAACGTTACTTAATCACTCAGAGTATTTGGTGCAGCTTGTCAAGTGCTATTAAAGGACACGCTTATGGAACCAGAAATCAACATCCACTTTCATAATTAGTAAAAATGTAGATAAAATGGTTTTAGAGTTATTTTGTGGATTTGTACACATTGTAAGGTCTGAGATGCCTTTTTACTTCTAATCTTGTTGAAATACATAGCACATATTGACAATTGACAATTCCATGCCTCTATAATTAATATTTGAAATCAGAAAGTCTTACACACTCGACTTCCCAGTTCATTTTGTAGTTTATTTTAACTTAATATTTTTCTCTTCCACTTTAGGTGAAGGCTAGTAGAGATGAAGCAGCAGCCCAGCAATGTCTCACTGCTCTAACACAGTGTGCTGCTACCGGGGAAGGCAACTTACTTGCACTTGCAGTGGAAGCAGCACGTTCAAGGTATTGGGAGTGAGGGTGAATATCCAACTGTTGTTTAGAAATCCATGGTTCATTTTCACCTTTTAACTGTTCTTGGGTATGGTGTCAACGAGGTTGGTGTCTTGGGATGTTTTAGGTTGTTCTTCAGAGGTGGAAGTAAAAGATGGCTGCAGTTTGACATTGTAAGATAGACTATTACATTTTACAGACTCTTTAAGGCTCTGCTTTAATTTCTCACAAAGAACAATACGGATACAAAAAATCTCATATGAAATGATGTTGTTCGTACACATTGTGTTGTTTACAACTGAGATTCTTACCAGTTTGAGGACATAAGTAGGTTTTTCTGTCACCCTGCTGTTTCATAGGTCAGGGAGCTTAAGAAGTGTCTGAGATGTGAAAATGGATATTCACAATCTTATGGTCTGTTGCTTCATCCTTCCTTGCACCACAGATTGGTGTGAAAACATTTTTTGATTGAAGGAGAAACAAGTTTGGTTAGTCAGGCAAAGATGTAAAAGATGCTGTTGAGTAGAGCAGTGAGGCATCCTTTAGAGTCCAGTAGACTATTTACTTTTTTCACCTAAAGTGCTTTTAAGACTGTTTTCATTCCTGC